ATTTTCAGATAATTATAAAATTCAAATACGAGACGCTTTAAATTAATAATAACCGAAATTTTAGTCACTCAATTCTGGTATGAATTTTTTTTGTTATATTGAAATTAATACTTATATTATTATTAAATTAAAAGACTAATATATTTAATTTTAAAAATCATATTGTTTATTTATTATTTATAATATTTACTTAAAAATAAATAGTTAACAAAGTCTTTTAATTTAATAATGATATAAGTAAGTATTAAGTTTAATATAATAAACAATTAAATAATTTTTTAAATATTTTAAATATAACTTTTTTAGAATGATTTAATATAAATTTTATAAATATATATATATATATATATATATTAATTAATTTTTATTTATAAATAAAATGAAAAATTAGTTTTTTTAATTTAATAATGATATAAGTAAATATTAAGTTCGGTATAATAAAAAACAATTCACACTATAGTTGAGTGGTTAATCTCTCAGTTATTAATTTAAAATATCTCATATTCAAATCTTATAATCATTGGAAAATATTTATTTTGTGGCGACACCATTATATAAGTTAAATATAAAACGTGGTGAAATATATCTAAATGACTAACTTAGTTCAATGCTTGAGTGCTTTGCAGCTCATGCAAATGTCCTAGGTTCATTTCATGTTGGGAGCAAGAATGATTCGTTTCATTTTATACTAGATGTTGACACATGTCACAATCTAATTGATTGAATAAAAGTAATTAAAAAATGTCAATGGGAAAGAGAAAGGTGATTTCAAAACAAAACAAAAATCACATGTCATACTATATTAGCATTATTGATAAGTTTTTAACGGTGTGATGAAAAATTAAAATTTAAACTAAACATTAAATGTGATTTTGAAATAAAAAATGAAGTTTAAGAATTAAAATGAAACAAAAGTGATAATTTAGGTATTAAAGGCATATCTTACCCTTTTAATATTTACTTAATGAGGATAATTTAATTAGTTATGCATTTCAGTCGGTCACATTAATGGTGTATTTCGGTATATGACATGTACAATATAACTTTCTTATCTTATGCATATAAGTAGTTGCTCCAGGAAAAAAAATTTAATTTGAAAAATAAATTAAAAACTTGCATCGAACAGGGATAATAATATATATTATAAATAATGTAAAATAAAAATTAAATTTCATTGAATTTTATAAAATATTGTAAATAATTATAAAATATTTAACGGTGATATATATTCAAAATTTTGAACCCGTTGCTTGATGGCATGGCGATGAAGAAAGGTATAGAGCAAACAAAGGCCAATTTGATAGTCAAAATATGTTTGACTTTGCAAGCGTAAACTTAACGATCCCACATGGCATTACTGTTACGTGGGATTCAATAACTGGTAGGTTCCCCGAGCTTTTAGCTTTTAACTACCTCGGTACTTACAGTAATGTACTTATTTCGATTTTGTTTAGAATTTTAATATTTTAATTTACATATGAAGATCATATATTATATTTAATGAACGTCAAATGGAAGCAACGCCTATTTGACTATTTTGTATCATATATTTATTAAATTAATAAATTAATAAATAAGTGGTTGGTTAATTAAACTATTCATTTTTAATCATTTATATTCTCTTTGGTCTCGGGTTCATGTTGTTCATTTTGACAGTAATTTTTTAATAGTAAATGATAATTACAATGTCGTATTTGTTGAGAATTTTTTTTATTTATTGACAATACACACGTTAAAGAAGTGATTGTTCCTACTCAGGACCCCTAAGGAAAATAATCTTTTATTTTATCACTGAAGTCATTTGATGAGTTATGGACATTAAAATTTTTAATTTGATATTTAAAAATAACACATGCTTTTTCAATATTTGTGTTTTTCATCTTAAAAAATATATTATCATTATTTTAGTATAACTATTGATATCTAATATATTAATCGATTAATTTAAATAGAGTACTGTAGAGGCCTAACATGAAACAACTCTCTAAACTCAATTTATTCTATTAATAACATATTGTTAATTGATGATTAACTATTTGTAAAAATTCGCAGCAGTAGCTTTAACTGTCAATTTTTAGTTGGATTAATTTAAATTATTTAATCTTAACAATTTGATTAAGTAATCTGTAAATAGAACAATTACATGTTAATATGCGCACCCCGATGCATATAGTATCTGAGTGATTCACTTAATTTAAATCGTTTAACTTTATATTTTAATTAATTAATTCATAAAATATAACGATCGCGCTAATAATAATTATAATTAACTAATAAAATATAACAATCGCACTAACTAATAATTACAATTAACAATTGCATATTAATATGCACACATCGATACATACAGTGTTTTTCACACGAAATGCTGTATCACAAGAAAATGAAGGCAGTAAAAAACAAAACAAAGTGGAATTACTTTGCCTAACTTTGATTAAAAAATAATTAAAAAATAAAATAATGATGAGGTTAAGATCGATAGGATTCCCTCACCAGCCCCTATGAGAGTGGGAATTTTTAACAAGCACAAAACAACCACACCAAAGAGGGGTTAAGTTTAGGTAGCGGCGTTAAATTTAGACCCGTCACCATGGCTTTTCAAAAGTGCTTTTGATGCGAAAAATGTGTTTATTTTCTAATTTATAAACTTAATTTTTTTTCTTATCAAGACATAATTATAAGAAATTATTTATGGATTAAATTTTTTATATAAAATTATTTTGAATTTTATATATTTTCATAGAATACATATAATTATTTAAAAATATTTATTTATTAATAAGAATAATTTTTATATATTATCAAAATTTAAGTTGATATATTTTTATATATTATAAGATTAAAAATTTATTTCAATATATATTTTTAACTTATAACATCATATCCAAAATGATCCGTTATATTTTTAAAAGTATTTTTAATAGTAATAAAGTGCTATTAAATAATCCAAAAATATTTCTCAAAATCAATTTTCAAAAGTATTTTTTAACCGCATTTTTTAAAACCATTGCTCAACTGGTAAAGAGATAATAAAAGGGGTCTCGCGTAACTGCCGCAGTTATTGACCAATTGCATTCGTCGGATACACGTAAGAATTAGTATAAAATTCAAAATTAATCTTGTTTGAAGCGGTTTTACTCTGTGAGCGTGACGCTGTTTTGGGGAAGGAACCAAATCCGTGATTCAATTTATCATGGCTTTGGAATTTGGTTTGCTAACGTCCATATCTCATTTATTACGCACTCAGAGTTAGTTTTAATTCCGCAATTAAATACTCTTTCCCCCCAAGTGTTGATGTAGAGGAGAAATGGAGCCTTTTGCATGGTTATGGAGGAGAGCCTTTGCATGGTTTTATATTTAATATTTTGCATCATTTCTTAAATTCAATCCCCATCAAGAGGCAAATAATAATTGAGGAGTGAGTCCATATGGTGATTGTGAGGGGAGAACACACGATTTATACATTCAGTTCTGTATTTTTTTTCAAATTAATTATATTTATTACTATATTTTAACTTAACCAAAATGATATAATTTCAGCTAATTTAGTTAACTGATTGAATTAATTAGATGTAAATTTGGGTTTAGATACTTTAATTTGTTAATTATAAAATATATATTTATTACTCTTTATGTCTCATCAAAATTATTTATTGACTTTTCAAAATCAATTTCTTTATTTTTTATTATTTAAAATTCATTAGTATTTTTCAAAAAATATTTTTTAAAAATTAAATTAACTAAAATATTTTTAACCATAAAAATCAATAAATAATAAATTTAATAAAAATATAAATATATTTAAAATAATACATAAAATCAATTTTATCAATCATTTAGGTTCATAATTTTAAAAATAAAAAACAATTGAATAAACTGACCCTTTAAACAGAAACTCATTAAAATCAACTAAACCAAAAGAATCTATTTTTTCAATTATCTATATATTATAAATGGAAAAAAAAATATGCTCCTCATCGAAATCCCAAACCCTAATGGGCGCATTGGAGGGACGGCTATAGTCTTCAAACCACTGACACCTATTACCTTGTTACAGATGGATCCCGGCATATGAGTGTCTTTCTATATGTTTTTTCTGATTTCTTTTCATATACAATTAATGTGTTTCACCACCTACTTGATACTGTAATAAATATTTCAAGATTTGACATTGACAATCAACCATCTTTAATTTCACCACTAAGAATTTTACGCACTCTAGACTAGCCTGCCGATGCCATCGTAGCTTCCTTCCATTCTTATCTCTTTCAAACCCCAAAAAGGAATATAAGTATGAGACTCGGGTTCTATGATGGTGTGGTAGGTGGTTAAATTAAATATCACATCACATCATTATCAAATGATTCAACTTGATAAACGGCTAAGATTAGTGGAATATAAGGGCTGATGAGAAGTATTATGAGATGCGGAACATGCAAATAATAAGCTGTAACAATATAATATAATATCCTCTGACACCTACCGTATATGTGAATCATGCATGAATAACATATAAACCCAGAGCCGAAGTGGCCTATTTCTTTCTACTCTGAAAACATTAATACTCTCGGGTAGGGCGAGGGAAGGGCACGTACTTTGAGAAAGTACCGTGATTCCACCTCACGCATTAAGGTTGGCGCGTGAAGTGAGCGATATACAATGTGCATGGAGCCATGAAAGGAGAAGGGAGATAACGTGGTGGAGACAGAAAGGAGAAGGGAGAGGGGGGAGGTGATCGTTGACCGGTAACGTGAAAAATCAACAAACACGTGCCGGTTAAACTGGTTAAAATTCCATAAAATTACCATTTCCAATGCATATATATTCTGTGAGAGTAAAGCTTACCTCTGGATTTTCGCAAACAGAGAAAAAAAAAAGGCAGAAAAGGACACAAGGAGCAGTAGATCTCAAGTCTTCTGTTCTGTCGCATTTGATTTCTTGCGCTTCGTATCTTTAAGCTTTAAATCCTACCCTTTTCTGTTGAAACCTTAGAGATAAACAAAGGTGGACTTAGAGATAAAAGACCAGCGAGAAACGAAAAAGAAAGGAAAACGAAAAACAGAGTGTCTTTATTCAGAGCTTAAAGTCTTGTTTTTCCTCTTATTGAAGTGCACTGAAATATGGGCACTGGTTGGAGAAGAGCCTTTTGCACTACAATCCCTAGAGAACCAGAAAACACTGTTTTAGACAAGCAGCGGCAACAGAGTCCAAGTCCCAGGAATTGTTCCAAGCTAAGCTTTTTTTCTACCGGAAGTAACCCTTCTACTCCTCGTTTTCAATCGCAAGCAGTTCCTAGCCCCAGTCTCCGTTGCCGCACTACCGTTGAACCGTCTTCAACTAGTGAAAGCCCCACCCTCCAATGCAAATCCACACCTAGAGCAGCCACTAAAAATCCTAAGCCAATTCTCTCCTCAAATCCTTCCTCTCCTCGTTCCCCTCTCAAGCTCTCACTTTTCCGCAACAGCTTCAAGTTCAGGGTAAGTAATATAAAATATGCGGAATGTATCTTAATACTGAATGTTTGCTGGTGTATAAGCTAAAGCTTTGATTTTTTTAAAAAATTTTGCAGAGTAGTTGTGGAATCTGTTTAAACAGCGTGAAGACAGGTCAAGGAACGGCCATTTACACAGCTGAATGTTCACACGCCTTTCATTTCCCATGCATAGCTGCTCATGTTCGCAAACATGATTCCCTCATTTGCCCTGTTTGTAATACCACCTGGAAAGATGTTCCTCTTCTCTCCATCCACAAAAACTCGACTCCTCAAAATGACACCGTTCTGATCGAAAACACCTCCCCGAGAATTGAAGATAAAAAGATCATCGAATCTTGTTCACCGAGAATTGTCCATCAGCCGGAACCCAAACCCAAACCCAAAGCAAAAACATCAGATTTAAGATCCTACGACGACGATGAACCATTGCTTTCCCCAACCGCCGGTGCTCGTTTTATTCCCATTCCAGAGGCCGATGAAATCATCGAACAAGAAGAAGAGGACGTTGAGGAGTTCCAAGGGTTCTTCGTTAATCCCAACTCCTCGTCTACCGTCAAATCTGATGACTTGCTCTCATTCAACGGTCGTGATTTGAGGAATGTCCAGGCCAGATTGTCTCCCGAAACGGCGGTCATTTCAGTGGGCCGTGGATACGAAACTTACGCCGTGGTTTTAAAAATCAAGGCCCCACCTCCCCCTACAAAAATATTAGCTTATTCGAGGAATAGTAGCAATTCAAATTTACATTTGGACCCTTCGCATCGGGCGCCAATCGATTTGGTTACAGTTCTTGATGTGAGCGGAAGCATGACCGGTGCTAAACTCCAGATGTTGAAACGCGCGATGCGTTTAGTTATTTCCTCGCTCGGCTCGGGTGATAGGCTTTCAATCGTCGCTTTCTCGGCTACTCCAAAACGGTTATTGCCTCTACGGAGAATGACGGCTCAGGGTCAAAAAGCTGCTCGGCGCATTATTGACCGCCTTACCTGCGGTCAAGGAACTAGCGTTGGCGATGCGTTGAGGAAAGCAACCAAAGTGCTAGAGGATCGGAGGGAGAGAAATCCAGTTGCTAGCATTATGTTATTATCCGACGGTCAGGACGAAAGAGTCCAATCCAATGCTTCCTATCAAAGGCATCATTCAAGCCACGTGTCGTCCACTCGTTTTTCTCACATTGAAATCCCGGTTCACGCGTCCGGGTTCGGGCAAAGCAGCGGGTTCAGCCATGAGCCAAGTGAGGATGCGTTTGCTAAATGCGTTGGTGGGTTATTGAGCGTCGTTGTTCAAGATTTGAGAATCCAGCTCAGCTTTGCATCTGGCTCAGCACCAGCTGAAATAACAGCCGTTTATTCATGCTGTGGAAAGCCTACTGTTTTAACTTCCAGCTCCGTGCGGCTCGGCGATTTATACGCCGAGGAAGAAAGGGAATTACTCTTGGAACTGAAAGTTCCGACTTCGTCGGCGGCTGTGTCCAACCACGTGATGTGCGTTCGCTCCCTCTACAAGGATCCCGCCACACAAGAAATCGTATACGGTAGAGATCACACGCTTCTCGTACCTTGGCCCAACGACGTTCGATCATTGGCTACCAAAATCGAACAGTTGAGATTCTTTTTCATCACGATTCGAGCCGTAGCCGAAGCGAGAAGGCTGATTGAGTGCAGTAACGACTTGACAAGTGCTTACCATTTGTTGGGCTCGGCTCGAGCCTTGTTGATGCAGTCAAATTCATCATCGGCTGAGGAATATGTCAGATGTTTAGAAGCTGAGTTGGCGGAACTGCAGTGCAGGAAACAGCAGATGATGGAAATCCAACGGCGGAGGGTGAATGAAAGGGAAAAGGAAAGGGGAAGGGAAAGAGAGAGAGTGTCGGTTACTGTGGTGATGGATGAAAACGGAGAGCTACTTACGCCCTCATCGGCTTGGAGAGCGGCTGAGAAGTTGGCTAAAGTTGCAATCATGAAGAAGTCTTTGACTAGAGTTGGCGATTTACACGGCTTCGAAAATGCTAGATTTTAGTTTATTTTTCTCCCTCTAATTATTACTTTCATCAAAAAAAAGATTGTTGTTATATTATGAAAGGGTGTGATGGTAACGACGGCGCGTGCCTTTCTGCCATGAGCATTTGATTGGTGGGTTGCTTTAAGAAAAATCTATTTTTGATCTTGAATTCAAATCTCCATTTTTCTTCTGTTTAGGAACGAAGTTTACGGATTTTTGTTGTTTCATCATCACCATTATCAACTTCAAAAGTTGTAAATGTTGGGATAATTGCCTTTTTTCATGTAATAATTAGTATTTGGGATGTTATTCTTCTGTTCACTTTATATAGTAAAAGTAGTCCTTTTGGTGGTTTCAGAAGAATGATTGGGGCATAGCTTGGACTTGGAAATGACAATGATGAATGAATCATTTTCTTGTTATTATATTCTCTTATGTTCATTATTTCTATTTGTTATTTTTCCCTGAATTATAACCTATTTCCCTTTGTAAGTTCTATGATGGGCTTCACCAATGCCCATTATTTTTTCTGACATTCATATTAGTATATTACATGTGATAAGTATATTATATTTATATTATTAAGACAACTTTTGAAATGGTCTGTCAACAAATGAGATATTGTGTTGACCCTGTAACTAATTTTTATTATTAGTCAAAACTGATCAGACATGTTAAAGGGCATAGATGTAGGTTCCATTACCTCAAGGCTTTCCTTTTCTTAGCCTTAGCTTAACACTAGCACAAGTCATGTGGGCAGCTCCCAAGGAAGGGAAGGTCCACGTTTGCCTTCGCTTTAGGAACAGGGATGTTTCTTGTTATAGTTATGAAGTACATGTGTTTTTTCTTTTCTTTTTTCCTTCATGTGTTTCAATGGGAAAAGCCGAAAAGTTGCGGTTTTGTTGAAGTTGAGAACCAAGGGAAAATGGGTTTTCCACGAGGGAAAAAACCTTGTTGAAAGGAAAATAATATTTAGGGTTCTTAGCTTTATAGGGAGAGCCCTAAGCCCTTTAGGTTAGTGCTTTTCAAAGGTAAGTAGCTCTTTCAAACCTTTGAAGCCGTTTGGATGGGGAATGTGTAATTCCCGGGGAATGAAATCCACACTCTCCCGTTTGGTTGGTCGGGAATGTTATTTCCGGTAATGTTTTATCATCAATAGTGGAATTTTTTAGATATATTACCAGGAATGTCATTACCTCCATTTTCTTAGGTATTATAACATTTAATGACGTTTTGGACTAAAATGCCCTTAAATTTCCCCCCAAAAATATCATTCTTCTGTCATTAAGTAATAAAAATCCTACGAAGGTTAAATTACAAATTTATCCTTAAACTATTTTAGATTTACAAAAAAATCTTTAATTAAAATTTTATATGAAGTTCAGGGGTTAAAATAAAATTTTACACTTTCATTAAACATTTTTTATATTTTTAATTTTGTAAAAAAATTATATAAATTTTATGAATTTAATTTTTTTTTTAAAGAAAATATATAAATATTTTCCAACTTGTAATATTATACAAATATATAATAAGGATAATTTGGTCAAATACAACATTCCCAGTAATCCTATTCCCGGGTAATCTTTTATTCCCACTGGTAATCTTACGTTTCGTGAACCACACGCACCTTGGAAATGGGAAATGAGTAGGGGACCCAAAAAGATTTTCATGTTTTTGGATTTTGTAAAATCCCAAAATCCCTGCAGGAAAAGTAGAAACTCCTAGCATGAAAGATTTAACAGGGCAAGCCTAAAATAAATCGTGAAATAATACAATCATAGCCCCGTCTAATTACCAAATCAAAAAGACTCGTATCAAGGTGTTTACATTATACTATTTAGCATGACTTGTTAACCGAAATCGGCAGTGAATTTTGTTTCAAACTGATCGATGGTGTTCATGCAATTTAAACCAGAACACCAAACCAATCACAATTTGCCTTAGTTTGCAAGTCCTTTCAGCCGCGCAATCAGTGTTATTAGCCAACTAATGACAAAGAGTACGATTCTTATCTTGTCCCAAAACGAATAAAAAACATCATGGACCCAAAAATATTGCAGGTTTTATAATGACATACTAGGGCAACTGGTGGTTACAACGAACCTGCGCGTCTTCTCGCTTTCTCACTCGGTTGTCCTTGGATTCCAACCTGTTGCCGGATTGTCTTCGGTGATAATATCGTTTGATGCCAAATGACAAAAATAAATGGTCCTATTGTGAAGTCTCTATCGGCATTATTGGTGAAAAACGATGGCTTGGGGGGGGGGGTTGAGCCATAATCCGAAATTTGATGAACCATGTGGTTTTCATGGACCTTTAATGTGTTTGGGTTTATTATACAGTCAGGGAATCCTTCTGGGAATCTTACTGTTGTCAATGTGACTCCAAAGGTCTATAACAATATATCAGCCATTTGGCTTTAAAAGGAATTCAGTAGTCACGAAATTGTCTGCCGTGGAGACACCTGTTTGCACCTAACCCTCCACACAATGTTCATTTGACCTGTGGGACAAGTGCAGCTCAGGTTGGTTCCTGATCAACTTTCTCAAAAGGGTTATTAATAACAGTGAGTGGGGAGCCTGTGTCTTAGAACACAAGCCAGAGTCTTTTAGTTAGCCCATACTGAATTAGAAATACTGGATAGAGCCCAGAATTCAACAATGTTCTAATATCAACCGACCTGGTCCTCACTTGTAGTGATAAACAATATGAGCCTTTTAATCAAGTCTTTTTTAAGCCCAAATAAGTGTTTTCGAGTGATTCCATTGATGTCTTTATAAAATTCCACCATCACTATATATTATTTTTAATTATTTTAGATATTTAAAATATAGCATAAACATGTAATATATATATACTTTTTAGTTTTTTTTAAAATAATTAATCGGTATTAAATCGATTGGGCTTTGTTATTAATAAAACCAACCAAATCAGTCAACTTGACGGTTTGCTTGGTATACACGTAGCTTTAATGTCACTGGATATGTAGTCCATTTTCCCACGTAGTTCGTCGGTAAAACCAGTAGTTATACTGACAAAAAATTTGTTTAAATAGTCATTTTGATCTTTTTTTTTTATTTTGTCATTTTGATCCCAATGTTTTGTTTTGAGGAAGAAAGATCCATTTTTGGATGTAAATCATTAGTCAACAAACAGTTAACATTTAAAAATAGGAATTTTTTTGTCCTAAAATAAAATGTCGAGATTAAAATGCTCCAAAAGATGTTAGGATTGAAGTAACTATTTAATCAAATGTTAAAGCACTGTTTATCCTAAACTGAAACATTAGATGTCAAAATATTTCAAAAATAATAATATAGATTAAAATAGCTATTTAATCAAACGTTAAATGCAGTTTTTAGATAAATATATCTTTTTCTAGATTGTCGTTCCTGCCCTGATTCGTTTTTGGGTAGACTTCACAAACTAATTGTAGCTATGCAGTAATAAGAAAAATCTGAATAAGTACACTCACAGAAAATTCCAGCTCTATATTAAAATAAGTAGTGAGTTAATTACAATGATGTTGTTCAAATAGATATCGTACATTCTACAGATGAATGATAGACGCTTCAAGCTCACTTCATACTGCACACGACAAAGCCGAAAGAGCACCAACAAGCATGTTGTAAGAGTGTGAAGCCAAATGAGATTGCACAAGAGTCTAAATTACACAAAATTATGAATTGAAAGATACCCCCAACTCATAAGAACCTCAAATCGACCGTGAGGAAGTGTAATTGATTGCGAAGTGAGAGATTCTATATTTTACACTTACTTTTGGTTTTGTTCCACCTTGGCTCGAATTTTTTGTTCCAAAAGAGATATATCTGTCTCCAGGCCGAACATTCTGTTAAGTGCATGCATGTTCTCGAGGGTCTCACTCAGAGTTCGACTGTCACTACCATCACATCTCAGGTGCTGCATTGGACCATGGAGAAGTTTATTCACAATTCCCCGGCTGAGATCATCCACTGCCTTCCTTGTCTTCTTCGGGATATCTTCACCCATCTTCGATAAGCATTTCTCTAACTCTGAAGCTCGAATTCTCTCTGCATAGGCTCTCAACTTCTTGATGGTTGGAACAGTTTCCAGTGAATCCCTCCATGCTTCAAACTGTTTTGATTCCTCAGCAATAATGGCCTGAGCTTCCATTGCTTTTCGTAGTCGGTCCTCTTTATTGGCAGCTACAACCTCCTTCAGGTCATCGACATTGTACAGTCGTGTGCCTTCAACCTCTGAGACACATGATCCCACATTTCGTGGAACAGAGATATCAACAAAGAGCCTTAAACCCCCAACTTCAGAACTGACAGTCGGGAGGTCCTTGACATGTTCTTTAAAAAACAATGGGGTTTCTGATGCAGTACTAGTGAAGACCACATCAGCTTCAGCTGAACAAGCGAGCATGTCTGTAAGGGGTCTGTAAATAATCTCAACACCTTTCATCTCCTCACGGATTGCTGCGACTTTCTCCTCGCTTCTGTTAACAACAACCATTTTGGTGCAACCTTTTGCCACCAAGTGCTTGATCACAAGCTTTCCCATCTTTCCTGCTCCAATAACCAACATTCGAGCCGTAGCATGTGAGGACTCGGGCAGCTTCAGAAAAGCCAGTTCAACAGCAGCAGAGCTGACAGAAACAGCCCCAGCAGCAATGTTAGTCTCTGTTCTGACCCGTTTCCCAACAGTAATTGCATGTTTGAACAGCCCACTAACGTTCCTTCCGAAGCCAACAATACCTTGCCCAACTTTGACAACTTGTTTAACTTGCGCAAGAATTTGACCTTCTCCAAGAACAAGAGAGTCAAGACCAGCAGATACTTCAAAGAGGTGCTGTGTAGCATCCTTGTTGTACAACAAAAACCGGTGCTCACAAATCTCTGAAACTGGGATACCGCTAGTCTGCAACCAAATTGCATTTACTTTAACTACTGCCACGTTTTAAGTGTTCATAGAGGTAAATATCACAAGCTATAGAATCCAAAGAGTATTGTACCTTTGACATCCATTCAGTTACTTCTTTGACACCACGATGCTGTGATAGAGCCACAACATATATTTCCATCCTGTTGCAGGTGCTAAGAACAGCAGCCTCTTCGATATGATTCAAACCACATAATTCCCCAATGGCTCGTGGCCATTCTGCTTCCGGAATGGCAAGTTTCTCACGCATCTCCACAGGTGCAGTGTGAATGCTAAGCCCTATGACCACAATGCTGCTCCTTTCCTTTGTATATCCTGCCATGGGCCAATAGCAAGATTGTGAGGAAAATTAACATTTATATTCTGCAAAAAGGATTATGTAATATACATTTGATTAAAATACCAGAAAAGCCCTTGAATACTGTGAATTAGAGTACTGTAATTGAAGATAAAAGGGTCCCGTGTCTAAATTTTTGTTCTTAAAATCTAGAAGTTTCCAGACATTGAAGGCATGAAATTATGCCGATTTAAGCGAGTTGACAAAAGAGGGAAGCCCATGCAAGTGACTATCAGTATTAATAGTATGTTCACGGAAACATTTTCCTTCTATGTTGCTCCAACTCTTCATTTTTTTCTTGAAGAACTCGTGACTGACAAATACTAAGACATGGGAATGGGGATATGATCACCCTCTAAATACACGAAAAATTCAGGAAAAAAACAAAAGTTGAACATATCCCATGTTTGACACTTACACCCAGTCCCAGTAACATAGCTTTAATCCCTCTTCTTCAAATCCAAAACTTCACAAGAAGGAGATTGATGATGGTTTGATTGATACAATTGCAAGGTGTTTATAAAGCAAACCTCAAAGTTTAATTTTGTTTTCCCCATCAACCAACAAATGCAAAAGCAAGCAAATGCATGAGTAGTAGGTAGAAATAAAGCCATAATTCTTTTGCAATAATAGTTTTGTTTAGCTCATACAGAATAAAACTATACAAATAGACCAAATACAAGAATCTAAAAATTTTATCTTGTGTGTGTGTGTGTGTGTTTTTAAAAAAAATCTCAATTGCCATTCCTTGTTAATTGATGCTCCAAATATCTAAAGATTGTGAACTGGTCAAACATATCCGCTTCAAAAAATTTAAACATTTTCATTCATCACATTAAGCAGCAATTCATCAAATTACCATTCACATTTAAATCTAAAACTGAATGACACAAAATTCAGCCAAAACAAGTGAAAGATAGGGGGAAACGAATATAAGTTGGAGGAAATCAAAGGTAAACTCACTGTCAGCTGCGGAAGTCTTGAGCTGTTCAATAGCGGAGATCGCCGAAGCCTTGGAAGGATCGATTTTTCCGCCTTCGTTAATGACGTCGGATTGAGCAACTTCACGTCTCACTCCACCAATCCTCTGACCCATGCCCTTCCTTCCACGATTAGGCTTGGAAAAGACATTCATTTGATGCTGAGAAAGAGAATAAGCCCGCAAAGAAGCCGACGGCGATGAGAAAGAATTGACCAACAAACGCTCCCATTTAGCCCCGAAAAGAGTCGAAGAAACCGCCATGGTTCTGATAAAAGACTGAAAGTTCACGAACCAAAAACCCAAATTAAAGAGAGAAGCAGAGCGTGAACTTAAATGGGTATTTTTCCCCAGAAAAAAAAATGGAAAGGCTTCAGGGTAAGGGGACTTTGTTTAATGGGTACGAAATTATAGGCAGAAAATGAGAGTTGATGGGTCGGGTCAATTAAAGCTTCGTGTTGGGTGGAAAAAGTGGGAAATTTGGAGTGACTAACTTATGATATTGAAATGCAGGATTGGCGGATGGGATTGGGGAATGAGAAAGAGAGAGGATTCTGATTTTGTTTTCCGAAATATGATTGGCTCATGAAACTCACGTTTTATCCACACTCCTTTGCTTTTCATCCTTTATAGGGTCCCCTCTCCACACTTCTATACCACTAAATTATTGCAGAAAAAATATGTATTTAAAGTATAGTATTGTTTTTATTTTAATATTTTAATTATATTTTAGTATTTAAAGTAGGCCGGTAAATGAACCGAACACACACGAACGAATGTATGTTTATGTTCGTTCATTTAATAAATAAACGAACATTTTTTTTTGTTAAATGTTCATTCATTAAGGAATATAGCTTGTTCATGTCCGTTCATTTAAATGATAAACGAACACAAACGAACATAAACGAACACAATAAACGAATATAAACGAACAACACAAATACAAAAAATAAACTTATTCGAACACAACAAATGAATGTAAAAAAAAGTAAACAACAAGAATAACAACTTAAAATTCATTAATATACCTGCAACTTTAGAGTTAATTTGTTTGAATACGACAAAAATATACATAAATCATAAATAAGCTATATGAACATAATAAAGTCTTGAAGTTAATTTGTTCAACAAAACAATTTTCTTGAAATCCAAACAACTTCAATAATCTTCGTAACATATTCAACTTGTCATCTGTTCGAACATAAATGAACGGACATAAATGAACATAAATGAACGAACATAAACGAAAAATATAATCGAACGTTCACGAACGTAAATGAACGAACGATCTCTTTGTTCATGTTCGTTCATTTAATTAAACGAACGCAAAATCTTGTTCATGTTCGTTCATTTAATAAATAAACGAACTTCCCGCCGCACGGTTCATAAAAGGTTCGCTGAACGTTCAGTTCATTTACAGGCCTAATTTAAAGTATAGTATTATTTTTATTTGAATATTTTAATTATATTTTAGTATTTAAAGTATATTTTTATTTTTTATTTAAATAATATTTTAGTATTTAAAGTTATTATTAGTTATATAAACATTAAAAATATTTATTTTTTTCCTTATATATATATATTAAAAATATATTATATTTTATCTGAAATTTTAAAAGTTTATATGCATTATTGTATACAAAATATTTTAATATAAAAGTCGGTAACTTTAAATGCTTAATTTAATAAAAAAATATTTTATACTTTTACTTGAAATTTTAATTTCAATTCTCATTTTCTAATTGCATTGTTAATTATGATTCTTCTATCTTAAGCCTCATAGGGTTCTAAACAAGTCGAGTCAAGTTTGAGTTTTGTTGAGCTCAACTCGGTTTAAAAGCTCGCGAACCTAGATTTTTTAAGTTTGAATTGAACTTAAAACCATGAATTAAAGCTTAAAATAAAACAAAAAAATTTAATTTAATTCAGTTAAAATTTAAAATTGAACTCAAACTTGAAGTTAAAGTACATGAAAATCTTATACTATATATATATTTTTTAAAATAACACATAAATGTTAATATTGTTAATAATTTTTTTAAAAAAATAAAATTTTAATATATTATTTTTTGAGTTGCTCATAAGTTTTTCGAGTCAAATTCGAGCTCGAGTTGAGTTTATTCAAATCAAATATTTATAAAACTTTGACTAAATCGAATTCAGATAACTCACAATTTATCTCGTCTCATTTACACTGTTCAGATACAATATGATAAAGAATTAAAAACCTAAGGCCACATTTGGTTCACGGATTATTTCATTCCTTGGAGGAATCTTTTTTTCCTGGTTAAGATACCCAAGTTTGGATGGGTCACATTCCCAAGTGAGAGTAAAAGTTGAATACCAACAGTGATATTTTTGTTCTGTTTTACTGGGAATGTTAGCCCCCCATCTCCCTTATATATTTGTTTATTCACATCCCCGTTGGCTAAAATACATTTCTCCCCGTTAGCTTGCTTCTGCAAAGGAAAACATTACATCTTCTTCGATTTGGAGAGAGTTGTTGCATTCTTCCCGTTAGCTTGCTTCTCCCCGCTAGCTTGCTTTGGAGCTTTACGAAGAGAGTTGTTGCATTCTTCTTCTTTGATTTCCCTTTTCTATCAGAAAAACAGAGGAAAAAATGACTTTTTGAGGTTTGGGTCTTTTTTTCTCACGTTGAATTTCAATAAAGTTTGAAACTTCTTATCCTTTAGTTTAATTCCAACATGCAATTAGTTTCAAAGTTGTATTTCGTTGTTAATTAAGATAAATAAACTGTTTTTTCCTTTTACTTTTGACATCTCTTATATGAATTTGTTGGATGTTTTGGTTTTTGTTAATTTTCTTTTTAATTGTTAGTCGTAATTTGTGTTGCGGAAGACGGCTATCGGATAGAGCAAAATCGCAACTGATAATTTGAGAAAATAAAAATGAAGATAAAAGATACACAAAATTTACGTGGAAAACCCCTAAATAATACAGTGTAAAAACCACAGACAACGGTAGAAGAATTTCTCTATGAGAAAATAGGAATTACAACTTCTCTCGATCTACCAATGAGAAAACAATGATAATTCTCTCTTGATAAATAGGAGAAAACAACTTTCAAGAAACTTTCTAAATTCTCTCTAGTATTGGAAGAAAGCTAGAATGCTTTGGGATGATTTTGAAGCTAAATAAGCTAGGTATTTATAGTTGAAACTTAATGACTAATCTTGTAAATACCCTAAAGTCTAATGGCTAAATTTTGTGATGTTACCACTTCAAAATTCAACATTTCCTGCACCTAATTTTTGACAATTAATTTTGTTACTTTCGGTGGATTTGTTTTCCACATTTTCAGTGGATTGTCAACAATCTCTCACTTGAAGATTTGATTAGAACAATCACATCTTTACATCATTCTTTTTATCTTGTACCTTTATATTGCTTACGTCTCTAACAGGCCATAAGAGGATTGACACCAAGTAAATTTATCGGCATTTATCGCATTCGTCATGAAATCTGCTATGTTGTCTTTGGTATGGATCTTCTGCATATCTACCGTCCCTTCTTCCACCTTTTCACGAGTGAAATGATATTGAACTCGTATGTGTTTTTGTCTTTGAATGAAATGTTGGATTCCTTGCTAGATGCAAGGCGCTTTGACTGTCATAAAACATAGAGACATACTCTTGATTGTGCCCAAGCTCCTCCAATAGCATCTTCAACCAAATTGCTTATTTACTAGCTTGTGTAGCTGCTGCATGTTCTGCTTCTGTTGGGATGTAGCCACAACTGACTGCAATTTTGAAACCCAGCTTATAGCTCCACCAACAACTTTGAACACATATCCTGTAGTATATTTGCTTTTATCCAAATCCCCCTGCATAGTCAGAATCGACATACCCATTTATAAGTAAGTTTGATCCTCCATAATATAATGCAACATTTGAGGTCCCTTTGATGTATCTAAGGATCCTCTTTACTATATTCCAATGCTCTTTGCCTGGATTCACCATGTACCGACTAACCACTCCCACTGCTTGTGCAATGTATGGTCTTGTGCATATCATAGTGAACATAAAACTTCCCACTGCTGATGCATACGGTACTCGAGACATCTCCATCATCTCTTCTTCACTGCTAGGACTCATACTGGAAGATAATTTGAAGTTAATAGGAAGAGGGGTATAAATTGGCTTACAATCTTGCATGTTGAATTGTGACAAAATCTTCTTCAAGTAATTCTTTTGTGAAAGCCAAATCTTCCTATTACTTCTGTCTCGGTGAATTTGCATCCCTAGAATCTTGTTTGCTGATCTCAAGTCCTTCATTTCAAATTCCCTAGCCATATGTGCCTTCAATTCTTCAATATGATCTTTGTTGGGTCCTGCAACCAACATGTCATCCACATACAACAGCAATATAACAAAATCGTTATCACCAGACCTCTTGAAATAAGCACAAGGGTCTGCATTAAGTCTGTTGTATCCAAGGCACATAATGAAGGAATCAAATCTCTTATACCAACACCTCGGCGCCTGCTTTAGACCGTACAGAGATTTGTTCAACCTGCAAACCAAGTTCTTCTTTTCTTTTTCTTCAAAACCTTCAGGCTGGAGCATGTAAATCTATTCTTCAAGATTTCCATGAAGAAAAATTGTTTTAACATCTACCTGCTCTAGATGTAAGTTCAATGTAGCACACATTGCCAAGACTACTCGAACTGTTGTTAGTCGAACCACAGGAGAAAAAATTTCATTGAAATCAATACCTTCTTTTTGAGCATATCCTTTGAGCACCAGTCTTGCACGATACCTCTCCACTTGATCGTCATCATTTCGCTTGATTTTGAAGACTCATTTGTTACCAATTGGCTTCCTTGTGGTAGTGGCACAAGGTCATATGTATTATTTTTATGAAGGGCTTTGATTTCTTCTTGCATCGCCATCATCCACAGTGAAGCATCTGAGCTATTTATTGCCTCCTGGTATGTTGATGGCTCACCGTCCTCTGTTAAAAGGCAGTATGCAACATTTCCTTCTATAACATAATCTGAGTGCCAATTGGGACGTCTTCTCACACTATCTGATTGACGAATTGTTGGAGCTTCAAAACTCTCTGGTTCTTGTTCATCATGTGTTGGTTATGCTTCAGAAGAATCTCCTTGTTCAACCTCTTTTTCCACATGTATCTATATAGTCTCTGACTTTTCAGCGCTATCATCATCTTATTTTCTTTGTAGCTTATCTTCTATAAAGATAACATCCCTACTGATGACTACTTTGTGGGCAGTGGAATCCCACAAGCGATACCCCTTGACTCCATCAGCATACCCCAAGAATTTGCATTTCCTGGATTTTGGATCCAGCTTTGAGATTTCTTGGGAGTTGTACATCACGTACACAATAATTCCAAATATATGGAGGTTTGAATAATCAGCTAGTTTACCAGTCCACATCTCCATTGGTGTCTTCAGCTCTATTGCAGTTGATGGAGCTCGATTCACCAAATAACAGGAAGTATTGACTGCTTCTGCCCAGAATGCTTTTTCTAGGCCTACATCCCTTAACATTGCTCTTGTTCTTTCTAACAAAGTTATGATCATCCGCTCTGCCACTCCATTTTGTTGAAGAGTGTTCG